TAATTCTTAAAATAAAAGTTGCTTCCTATGAACCACTTTGTCTCGGTACATTCTAGACAGAAACAACACATTAAATAATTAATCTAGCTTTGTTAAGTATTTGAAGCAAGCTGTTTGCTGTAAAGAAACTTGAACTGTTAACATTTCTATGCAGAAAAGTAACTCAATAAAATGGTGTTTGTGAGAGCAAGAAGGATGGAAATTATAGGAAAGCAACTAGATTTCAAAAACGTAACTCGATTTCCAGAGATTCACTTGCTAGTCCGCAAATGTAATTTTGTGACTCAGTTTCCTGTGTTGCCTCCATATCTGAGGGGCCATAATGAACTTATAGTTATTCCAGGATAGGAACACTTCAGGACTTTGGGTTTAGTATATTCATTATCATGCACACACCATCCCAAACTCGGTTTCTTTGTTGCCTAGCAAACGTTGGAGTTGTTTCAAATAACCAAACATTCTATCTGCACATACACAAATGAAACAAATACCTCAGTCAAGTTTGTATTTCCTGAGGAAATAGAGAAAGCACCCATTATCAGGAATGGGCACATCTGGGTGAGTACTGGCTGCCAGTCAGCTATGTGGATCTGGATCAGGGCTTTCCTGGGGCAGTGCTCAGCTATGGCTCATTCTGTGATCTAGAGAATATCCAGAATGCTGGCTAAGTGGAAACAGGTCTAGAACATTCCTCAACTGGACAGGAGTCTGCTTCTGGTCTGGGATCCAGCCAAAAATGCTTTGCCTCGTCCAAAGAACTCTTCTGAGGTTTTAAAATTATTTAATTATTAATAGTAAATACAATTTAATAAAGGCAATCAGTGTTTATCACACAATTATCATACATGAGGCACTGTGCCAAGGGTTTTAATACATTCATTGCTTCATTCAATCTTCAGAATAATCCTAGATATTCAGTTTTATCATTCACAAGTAACAGGTAAGGGAAATGAGATTCAAAGTGATTAAGTAACTTGCTCAAGGCAGAGCTGGGATTTGAACACAAGCTTTTAGACTTTATCTTCCATGATATACTGCCAGAATATGGCAGCCTCCAGCAACTGGGAAAGGATATTTTTTCTAGGAGTTTTTTTTTTTTTTTTTGGCTTTGTTCTTTACTTCTCTATAGAAATATGTTTCAAGTATATACTTATATGCAAATCTATTCCTAGCTAGATTCCTGGATAGAATGGCTAGTTAGTGGAGCCCTTAGAACACACACAACATATAGCAATCAAGTTTGCTCTCTTCTATGGGTGTGGTTTATAGTGCCCCCAAACAATTATAATAGTAATATCAAAGATAACTGATCATAGATCACCATAACAAATATAATAAAAATTAAAACGTTTGAAATATATGAGAATTACCAAAATGTGACACAGAGACTGGAAGTGAACACAGGCTGTTGGAAAAAATGGCGCTGAGTAGACATGCTTGAGTCAGGGTTACCATAAACCTTCAATTTGTTGCTTTTGGCAGGGGGATGTTGAGGGGTTTTCTTAGAGATAGGGACTTAGTCTGTCACCCAAACTGGAGTGTTGTGGTACGACCATAGCTCACTGCACCCTTGATCTCCTGGGCTCCTGTGATCTTCCTGCCTCAGGCTTCCAAGTAGCTGAGACTACAGGCATGCACCACCATGCTCAGCTAATCATTATATTTTATTACACAAAGTCTCGCTATGTTGTCCAGGCTGATTTTGAACTCCTGGCATCAAGCAATCCTTCTGTCTAGGCCTCCCAAAGGACTGGGATTATAGGTGTAAACCATCACATCCAGCCAAAACTTTAAATTTGAAAACAAACAAATCAGTAAATGTGAAGTGCAATAAAGCCAAGAGCAATAAAATAAGGTAGGCCTGTATTTACTTGTCTGTTTCTTCTACTGGATTGTAAAATCTTTGCGTGTAGAAGTCTCTGGTACCTTCCTATAGTAGACATCTGTTACTAAATAAATAAAGCATTAAGTACTGACCATATGTGCAAACAATAAAGTAGCAAAAGCCACATATATTTATTTATATTTTTATTTTTTATTTTTTTGAGTTGGAGTCTCACTCTGTTGCCCAGACTAGAGTGTAGTGGCCACTCCCGGTCACCACAGCCTCAGCCTGCTGGGCTCCGGCGATCCTTCCACCTCAGCCTTCCAAGTAGCTGGAACTACAGGTGCGCGCTACCACGCTACTTCGCCTGGCTAGTTTTTGATTTATTGTAGAGATGAGGTCTTGCCAAGTTACTCAGGCGGGTCTCAAACCCGCGGGCTCAGGCAATCCCCTCACCTCAGCCTCCCAAAGTGCTAGGATTACAGGCTTGAGCCACCGCGCCCCGTCAAGCCACATATATTTAAAAGGAGCTTCCTCACCTTGAACAACTATTGTAATACTATAAGAAAAGGATTGGCCAGCGGGGAAACTGCTGGGGGTAGGGGGGAGATGGGATTGGCAGTAGTGGGAATCTGCCTGGGGAAGGGGGGGCCACACCTCATCCACAAGGGCAACTGCATAATGATCATTTGTATACCTAACCCTGAATTGTACCCCACATCTTTAAAATAAAAACATTAAAAAGTTAAAAAAATAAAAGGAGCTTCCCCAAAGTCACAACTGCTATTCCATGGTATCAAAGTTTTAATAACTCCTCACAGACTACCAGGGAAAGTGAAAACATTATCCTCTTCTTTGAAATTCCTCTTTACTCATCATAGTCATGAATGCCATTATTCTGCTTATGTGAGTTCTGACTCTTAAACTCAGTCTGAAGGTTAGGGTCACTGTCTCTTACAGATTTGCTGTTGAATATATTATGTTACCATGTATATATTCAATACCATACAATGTATTTACTCAGTAAACAATGAGTTGATGACTAGATTGACTACTCCTGAGCACAGACTCTCAGCTCTGTCCTGGTGGGTGGTTCCTCTTTATCTCCTGGGGCATCCCCACCCCTTCTCTTTGGTTGACACTTCACCAGCCAGCCAGCCTGCTCATGCCTCCTTGCTTCCTTTCCCATCCTATAATCAACAACCTCCATGGGTGGAATCTCAAACTTCTCAAGCCCCTTTGTTCTTACACACTGCATGTCTTTCAATGTCTCCTAGACAATCATGTGTTACAAATACCACCTGATTTCAGCTAAATTATAAGTTCCTGGGGGCAGGGAATGTTTATTTTTAATCTTTATATCTATATCCCTCTATTAGTCACTTTCACATGGAAGACTCTCGAGAAATATAGAGAGAATTTCTTGTATTACTTGTAAACTAACTGATTTAAATTCAATTTTTAAATACGCCATTGGAAAAATACCTCAAACATTAATGGCACCAAGTCAGTGGGGACAATTCTTCTCAAAAGTTAGAATAAGCCAGGCTTGGTGGCTCAGCCTGTAATCCTGCACCTTTGGGAGGCTGAGGTGACTGGATTGCCTGAGCCTGAGGGTTCGAGACCCACCTGGGCAGCGAGACCTCATCTCTACAATAAAACAAACAAAAAAAAATCAGCCGGGTGTGGTAGCGCATGCCTGTAATTCTGGCTGCTCGGAAGGCTGAGGCGGAAGGATCGCCCGGAGCCCAGCAGGTCGAGGCTGCGGTGGCCAGGAGCGGCCACTGCACTCCAGTCTGGGCGACAGAGTGAAACTCCAACTCAAAAATAAATAAATAAATAAATAAATAAATAAATAAATACAAAGTTAGAATAAAGTACTCTAGGGATCTGAAACCTCGAATCCCCCTTTCTGAATGTAATTGATGCCACCAATCAATCTCTCCTGAATGATCATAGTCCCCATATCCAAGTTGTTTCATTTTTCTGTATAAATTCCTGCATGGCCTGCTTGTTAAAATGCTAGATACACAGACAGTAAGTAGAATCAAAAGAGGAAATTTATTTAAATCCTCTCCCCCAATCCCCCACAATTAGAATGCAGCTAGCCTCTCCCTTGATTCCTAAAATTAAGGAGGTAGAAAGGAAACCAGAATTCTGTTCTACCATGCTCCTCATATATAGCATGACAGATCTTTGTAACCTGGTTTCTCTCTCTTCAACTGTCTAAAACACAACACCCAGACAGTGGTCACCCCAAGTCCCCAAATGACGATGCCACTGCAGTGAAACAGGTTTTGCTGTCAGGTTCGATCATGACCAGCTCCCACCGCAGGCTGACATCTCTCCAGATGAGCCTGTTCTAGCAGGGCTTGTTAAATTTCACTTCCAGCCCCAAACCAGGAAGTGCTGTCAAGATGAGCCCAAGACAAAAGCAATCCAGCCTCAGAAACAAAACTCGCCAGACTCCAGAAGGAGTATAAGGGTTTACATCTGGCACTGTTATCCGGTTTGGATTGGAGCCTACGGCCTCCTACCCAATAAAGAATGATTAAACTTTCGAAATTGCCCACCCCCCAAAAAGTAGAATGACATAAAACACACAGGCGCGTGCACGCACGGACACACACAGACCAATTTGGTTTTATGCCCACTTCCTTATCTACACAGTCCAACCTCGGGTCAGATTTGTTTTTAAATCCAGCTAAACCAGGGTAGAATGCAGAAACGATATCTAATTCTCCGGATTTGGGGGGAGGAGGGTCGAGGCGTGGACGGGCCACGCCCGGGTCCCGCTGTGCCGTTGCACAACTGCACGATACGCCTGGGCAAGTCGAAGGAGGAACCCTGCAACCCCCACCCTCCTCTTTCTGACCAACGGGAGCCCGAGCCGTCCGGGGGGCCGGGGAGGGTCACTGGGTGAGGACCAGGGTGCAGAGGGTGTTCAGTTACAGGTCAGGAGCCCAGGTTAGCGACGGCGGGAGCCGCGGCCAGCAGCGCGCAGGAAGGGGAGGACCCAACGGGGCAGGGGGAGCCCCGGCGCGGGCTCGCGGCTGGGTCGGAAAAGCTGCCTCACGGGCGCGCCGCCGCCCCCTCCGTGCCCTCCCTCCCGGCCTGCCTCCCTCCCAGGGCGCCCCGCCCG